CCTCTTGAAATTACAGTGGCCACATTCAAGAATAAATGGCCATCACGATTGGGCAGACCCCGCCTATAAGCCGGCGTATCAACTATACGATCAATGTTTGTACATTCATTCAAACATCCATGTAATAAAACGAAACACGTATATACCGAATAGGAACTACGACGGAATATTTATAATAGAACGTTACAATGCCCGACGGAATATTCAAACATAGTTTTTATTGCGATTCAACCTTACAATGCGTATTCTTATACGGCGTCACCCTCATTCTCACTTTTCTCGACTTCAAAAGCGGAAAACGAAAAATGTTTACTGTGGCAGAGTGGCGATGCCGAATCAATGCCCGACGCTCGAAGAGCTTCCATGGCTTGAGATGCCTCGATCCAACCGTGCCTAAATCCACGATTCTCACATCGACAAACCTCTTCGGCAAGCTTCTCCTTGGTCTTTTCGATTCCAACTTTTCGGCCTTCATGAAAACCTTTTTCATAGGCCCTCCCCTTCGCAGACTCCATTGCAAACATACTCGCCGTCTCACGATCGGCGAGCGCGGCACAGATGAGCCGACTGGTAACCCTTTCCTCCACAATTGGGTTTCCCTACCCGGCGGGTTGTGCCTGAGCCGCCCTAGTCTTCCTTAACTCACGCTCAGCCGCCTCCGCGCGAGCCTCCAAACTTCGAATACGTTCCTCCTTCTTCTCCAATTCTCGACGGGCATCACGCAACCGCATGCCGATTTCATAGGCAGTGTAAAGCCCCTTCACAGCCTCGTGAATGCCTTCACGAAATACTTCGTAGTCCTGTCGACCTACCATCAATTGCTGAACCTCAGGAGGAAAAATTTGTCGAGCAAACTCGACCGCTACATTTGGGTCTCGAACGATTGAGTCTGCCTCTATCATGGGTCTATTCCCCACAAATACCGCAAAGCTTAATGGGCACGGATTCGCGTCAGATCCCCTCTCGACTCGGAGTTGTGGAGATCTGCCCTGCGACTGCTTGTCCTGCCTGGGTGACCTGCTTTGACGTCGAAGAGACTGATGCCTCTCTCGATCCTTAGAACTCCTACTTCTTGTGCGCGAAGGTTCACCACCTCGATTCATGTCTCCGCCCAGCTCAGCTAGCGTCCTTGCTTCCCCTCTGCTGTTAAAGAAGAGTCTGTTCGACATTCACACGATAAATCTTCCTCCAAGAGCTGGAGTCAGCTGTTTACTAAGCTCATAAAGGTTGTACCTTTGTTCATTTATCCTTTACAGAGGCAGCGCCCTTGAGGCAATCTCATTAATTGAGAAAACCTCAATTGTCCAGCGCCCGAATGATCATGCACCGCTTGGGGCAAGGGCAGATTCATTAATCTATTCGGCTCAAGTGCCTAAGACGGCTCATGAATCGACTTTTCAAAATTCTTAAGGTCGTCTCATCTGGCTCCCGAATGGTCATGCACCGCCTGGGGAAAGGACAGATTCATCAATCTATTCGGCTTAAGTGCCCCAGACGGCTCATGAATCGACTCTTCAAAATTCTTAAGGTCGTCTCATCTGGCTCCCGAATGATCATGCACCGCCTGGGGCAAGGGCAGATTCATCAATCTATTCGACTCAAGTACCCCAGCCGGCTTATGAATCGATTATTCAAAATACTTAAGATTTATCAATCTATTCACCTCAAGTGCCCCAGACGGCTCACGAATCGATTCTTCAAAATTCTTAAGGTCATCTCATTCGGCATCCGAACGATCATGAACCACCTAGGGCCAAGGCAATTTCACCAACCTATTCAGCTTGAATGCCCACAATACTCGGCATATGAGTGATAAATCAATATTGTCATAAGATATTCAATCTCTGAAAGCTCAAACACAGCAATGATTTTATCCAAAGTAGTTAAAGGCAAAACATTCTTCATTAACATAACTTCACAAACTGTGTACAAGTGGTGGTGAAATAACAAGGAAATTTTCATTAATAAATTGAGCGCAAATAGTAACCAATTTATACATGAAAACTACCCTGAACCAACAAAAGTCTACCGAACAAAAACTCAGATCAAAATTAAAAATACTTAATAAAATTGAAATGTCTCCCAGATCATTCCTCAGGGTCAGATTCAAGTGGCTCAACGTCCACTTGCTCGTAGGGAATTGACAAGGCCAATGTAACTCCAGCAGCAACAAGGGCTTTGACCACCTATGTTTGAACCCCCGATTCTCGAATTTGGGGACTTCATCTACATATTCCGTGTAGGCGGCGCTTTTTCCTACCTCAAATGCCGCACAAGCCTCAGAATCGGCTTTTTCCTTGGCCGCCTTGAGCTCCTCTAACTGAACCTCTGCCTCGGCAAGCGCCTCCTTGGCTAACTTGAGCGATACTTCGTTCACATCTGCCCTACTCTCAGTGTCAAAGCAGAGCTGTTCAGCTAAGCGAGCCCTCTCCTCCTCTGCTTCAGCTCGCGCACTCTCCATTGCGGCTCTCATCACTTCAAACTCGACCCTACTCTTTTGACCGTCCGCCTCCGTTGCAAACGATCAATCCTGCCAAGGGCATCATGCAGGCGACGGCCTAGGTCCGCGATCCTGCCAACCATCTGCAAAATAAGTTGGGATCGTCAAATACCTTAATCAAAACAAATTCAAGAGAATCTGAGACGGTCACTTACCAGGAGTGCCGACTGCGCAGATAGGGCTACAGCCATAACATCTGGCATGACGTGAAAGGTTGCGTTGTCAGCCGTCAAGGAAATTGAAGCCGCCAGGCTCAACGCCACGGCTGAATCCTCAATGGCTAAAGCGTCATAAAAGATCAGCGTATCTTTGATCTTTGATCGAACAATAAAAGGAGCAACCACGTCCAACTCTTCTAAACGAGGCCGTTTGGAAGCAGGGCTAATCTCCGACCCAGCCTCTCCCTCAGCACTACGCTTTTTGCCCCGCTCCTCCGGAATCAGTCGTTCGTTCTCTTTCCCCGCTTCGGCCGCAGCAACCTAAGTTGTCTCTTCAATAATGAGTACGAAAGTTTTAATCAAGGTGGGCTCAAAATGGGCGACCTCGGCCTTCTTCCAAGCAGCCATTCGCTCGACATTTTTCTTTTGCGCCATCTGCGTAAGGGTTTCCCCAGCCATACCTTCGGAAAAATCGCCGAGTAAGTCTCCGAAATTCACAAAAATATCTCCAGAAGAAAACTCTTCCCGACCCGAAGTGGACGATGAAGGTTGGTTAAGTCCGGCAGCCTCGAACGCCGAGCGTATCGCCTCATCGACCTCTCTGGTTGGTTTCGGCAATTACCTCTACCACCGGCTCCACGTCTTCTCCTGAATCCGAATCTTCGAGGCCAATTTGCCTAAGGCTCTTGAAGCTGGAAAAGAGAAGAGCCGAAAGGTGTTGATCGCCAGATGGAATTGGAATGCTGTCCGCGGTCGAAAATGTAGTATAAGTAGGTTCGTATCGGAGGAGTATGTAAGCAGCTCTCCCTTACTTTTGTACGTTTGGACGGTTGAAGTATCTAAGTTCAGACTTAATTTCCTCAAGGACTGCGTCGTCAGTTGAGGGAAGAATCTTCTTCAATCTGCTACCTACAAAGAACAAGGGGTGATTAAAGGAAAAAAGCTGAATAAAAGGTAGATCAACAAACACAAGGCATTACATGGCAACCTGGATCACCCTTCCGTCTGGGAATAGGGTCTAGGCGGTCTTCGCCTTCACCGAACTCCCAATTACCTCGGACATTGACCATTACGTCGTCAACTCTCTTACCAGAACTGGCAAGCATGGTTATCAAGTGATGGTCAGTGTCCTTGGCCCTGAGAAAATATCGCCCCAGCCGACCGGAAGATTTGGCCAAAGCGTAGCAGTGCCGAATCGCCGAAATACCAAGGTTGATCCTAAGGCGTCGGTTCAACTCTATCACCCCCATGATGATTCGAAAGAAATTTACGTTGGGTTAAGAAGGAATCAGACTCCAATAGCGAAAGACAGCCCTAAGCAACGGATGTAGGGGAAAACAGACTCTGCCCTTCGCTATGGATAAGAGAGGGAAGACGATCGTATTTTGATCCTCCCTCTCCATATCAAGAGTATTGTCCGTTATAAGAGATAAGTGAACATCATCGAGAATGGAAAAGTGTCGCCGGAATCCAGAAATATGACCCTCAGAGAGGAGGTCTTTCAAGTGTTTAGCCATTTTCGTAGGGATTCAAGGTTATGCCGAAATCAAAATGACAAACAGAAAATAAGATTGCAAAGAAGAGAGAAGAAGACTTACGAGGAGTAAACGGGGCAAGGATAGACGGAGAAGAATTACAAAAAATGCGAGTTAGAGAAGGGATACCCGCTGGCAGTCCAAGAGTCTCGAATACTCGACGAAATGTGCACTCGAAAGGACTGAAATTTCAAATCGCAATAAATGCGAGACACACGAATGAGGCGAGAAAGTGTAATGATGACTGAAAAAGTGTGCGCATTCTGACATCTGTATTGGGGTACGCGAAGCCGTCTGACCTATTTTGACTTTTCCAATTCAAGACCAAACACGCTGATTAACTACCGTCAATAGGGAGTTCGGGGGGCAATTGTGGGAGCCAAATAATGGCAGAATCAAAAGGTGCGTACCTTAGAAGACTGATATTAATCGGCTGTATCCTATGGGAATTGGAAGCCGAATATAATATATGTGCCGAATAAGTGTAGACCCTTAGAGCAGGATAAGAGAAATGACAATAATTAAAAGTAGGCCCTGGCCCTGAGGATCAAAAGGAACAAGTATAAATACAGAAACAATGGATTGAGAAAGGTATGTAAGAATCACTTCACTTAACTTAGTAAAGAAGCTATCCTGAGCGTCTGAACAGACTTGTCCGTCGGAGTGCTAATTCGAGCACCCCCGACCGCAGTGTTTGTATCTTTTCAGGTGACTAGCTGAGGATCACTAGCATCTCCCAGGATCTGAAGAGTATTTCCAAACCACTTCTCCACATCTAGCAATGGAGCCATTTGAGTTTCTTTTCAATCAAAAGACCCATTTGCAGCCAATGGCTTCCTTGGTGGAAGGTAGAGAAACTAAAAACCAAGTGCATTGTTTTTGCAAGGCTTGATATTCATCAAGCATGGCAGCCTGCCAATTAAGAGAAGTAGATGCTTCCTGAAAGGATTGAGGTTCAATAGGAGCAGCAGATGCCAACAAACAAGCAGTAGAAAAAAGTTTGGCTTTGGATCTGGTTAGCATGGAGTGAGAATTGGAAGAGGAAAGAGAAAGAAGATCTATAATAAATAAATAAATGAGAATGTGGGATGAAGGTTGTTGTACAAAAGCAACAGTGAGTGCAGGTGGAGACATTACCACTGTTGTTGGTGCAAAACAAGGAGAATAAATAGGTACTGCTGATGCTGTTACTGCAGATGCAGACATCATCACTACTGCTAGAGCAAGAGGAGAAGAAACAGATGATGCTAGTGCAGAATAAGGAGAAGAAATAGTTGTTGCTAGGGCAGAATAAGAAGACCAGAAGAAATTATGTAAAGTGGTAAGATGAGACAAAAAAGAAGAAGATGGAACTGTAAAGAATTAACAAGAAGGTAAAAACTGAAAAGGAAAAGTAAGTTCATCAAAGAGAACATGTCTAGAGACATAGACCTTGTTGATACTAGGATCAAGACACCTATAACCTTTAACAGAAGGTTGATAGCCTATAAACACACATGGAATAGATCTAGGTTGAAGTTTATGAGAGGTGTAGGGCTTGAGCCAAGGATAACATCTGCAACCAAAAGTTCTTAAGAATTGATAATCAGGTTTCTGACGAAACAAGACCTCAAAAGGAGTTTTGTTAGAAAGTTTGAGTGTAGGCAATCGATTGATTAAAAACACAGAGGTAGTAAGCGCATCAAACAAATAAATCAAAGGTAATAAAGATTGATGCATAAGAGTGATGGTTGTCTCAATAAGATGCTTTTGCTTTCTTTCTGCCACACCATTCTGGGTAAGTGTGCGAGCACAAGTCAATTGATGCTCAATGCCTTTTTGTTTGAGAAATTCCTGAAATTGAGTGCTAAGATATTCACCCCCATTATCACTTCTTAACTGTAACGCCCTCAAAATCATAACTTTAAACCCATTAAATAAGACATGCATTGATATTCAAAAGCTTCACATTCTTTCATTTATCAGAGTTTCATTACAAAAAGTATTACATGTTAACAACAAAAGCAAATGCCCTATGGACTTACAGCTTTCCAAGTTAACACTTGGTTACAACAAAAGAGTACTAACTCATACGACCAAAATGCTGAGAGAAGGAAATTCACGCTCGAGCGTCCAAACCGCCGCTCGAGCGGAGAGACCAAAACCTGGGCAAAATTTCAAAGCTTTAAAACACAACCAACTAATTCCCAACTTGCCCAACACAACCCAAAATTCTAATTAAAAGAGTAAGGGATAGAAATGAGGATAAGATAACAACGAATCTACGGAACTGAGTCCGGATTATAGTTAAACAACAACAGGAAATATTGGGACCGCTATATTAACACTTGTAACTGGGTAGTGAACTGTGTTTCAACAAAGGACTTAAATTCTAGAAATTTAGTGAAAACCTCACTCTTATAATGAAAAGGAAAAATCCAAGTGAATTTGCTAAAGTCATCAATGAATAACACATGATATTTATAGCTTGAACAAAAGGCTGCAAATAGACCCCATCTATTAGTGTGTATAAGAGCTAGAGGTTTATTAACAGTGGAATTTGATAAGCTAAAAGGTAGCCTATGACTTTTGGAAACACAACAATGTTCACACATACTTAAGGTTTTATTAGTAGATAAATGACTATGAGTAAGAACATGGTGAAGCTTCCTGAAAGAATGATGTCCAAGCCTAAAATGCCAATTAGGAGTAGCTTGAGTTGAACCAGAAGAAGAAGTCTTTGTGAAACAAGACAAGCAAACTGGAGAAGAAATTATAGAAGAAGAAGATGCAAGAGGATAAAGACCATGAGAATAAGAACCTCTATACAGCTCCTTCTGAGTAGTCTTGTCCTAAATAACAAAAGAATGTTCATAAAAAATAATGGTACAATGATTGTCTAAGGCTAATTGATGAACTGAAAGCAAGTTTGAATAAATAGAAGGAACATGAAGCATGTTGGTGAGATGAAATAGAAACTTAGGAGTTGGAAGTAAACCATTACCAGTATTTGAAATAGGTAAGGTAGAACCATCACCAATAGCCATCTGATCATAGCCTTGATAAGGTTGATATGTGGACAAATTACTTAGATCATTGGTCATATGACACTGGTGGCTACAGAGTCCAAAAACCAATTTGAAGCAAATGAGGAAGCAGTTGATGGTGAAGTCGTAGCTGGTGTTGCAGCCATATAGGCTTTGGGTGAGTGGGAAGGACTGGGATGACTCTGATAAGATGAGTCCAATCTAAACCAACAATCTAGGGCAGAATGATTTGCCTTTCCATAAATCTGATAGATCACAGAACTTGAAATGTGACCTGACCTACCGCCTCTTCGATCCTTGGGATATTGATCCCTTGGATATTGATGACCTTCCCTGGTGGGAAAGGAACTAGGCTGAGGACCTCTAGAGCCTCCTCTACCTCTGGTAGAGTAACCTCTGTCTTAAAAACCTCTATAACCTCCTATGTAGCCTTGAGTAGCAGAATATGCAAATGGAATTTCTGTAGTCTGAGTATGTGTGAGAGAAGACTCAACATGGATGGACTCAGAATAAAGAAGAGCAGACAATTGTTCTAGAGAAATAGGGGCAGATCTAGCCCTAATTGTGGTTTTAAAAGCATTGTGTTCATCTGGTAAACCATTGAGGATTAACAAGATCAAATCCTCGTCATTCACAGGTGATGAAGCTAAAAAATGCTCATCTGAAATAGCTTTGAATTGACTCAAAAAATCTTCCATTGTCAAGCCTTTCTTAGTAATTGGACTGAGTTTGTTATTTAACTGATGAATGTGAGATCTAGAAAGAGATGTAAATCTCTTGGCAAGAACATTCTAGACCACAGAGCTAGATTGACAATGAATCACAGATGTGTAAACAGATGATGATAATGTGGCTGTTATACAGCTCAAAAGATGAGCATCAACAGTGATCCGCTGTGTATATACAGGATTCAGAACTTCTTGACTGTTGGAATAAAAAACAATTGAGGGAGGGCATACCTCTGATCCATCAATGTATCCAAGAAGCTTCGTAGCTTTCAGAATATTGTGCAATTGACTTTTCCAAACAATGTAGTTTGTTGAATCAAGCTTGGTTGTTACAAGAGCATTGAGATTGGAGATCAACAATGTCAAATTTAAAGGTAAAGCAGGTAAAGAAGATGAAGAACTGGAAGCTGTTGGATTAGGGTTTTGAGTCGCCATTAGAGGACATTTGCTCGTAAGAGCTTTAGGGCTCTGATACCATAGAGAAACTGAGCTTTATTTCATTCATTAAGTATACAGAGGTTCATATTCAGTATATATACATGTGATGCAATGATATAACCATAAACCACAAACTACCTAACCTAACCATACTTAACTAACTATAGTTCTAACAGACTAACAACTTGATCTACTTCAGCTGGAGCTGGAGCTCTGCGGCTGGAGCTGCTATGTTGGTGAGTTAGGCTGCCTTGGTTGATGCTGCAACCTTGACTATGCTGCTGCTCTGTGTTGCAGTCTTGATTGTGCTGCTGCTCTGTAGCCAGGCATGGCTGTGGCTCAAATATCTTATCATTAATGGGTGTAACTTGAGATTTAGATGTGCTTTTTTTTCTAAATTTTATATTTAATTTTTACCAAGTATTAATAACTTTCTTGGAACTATGATGAGGAACTCTATTCAAAATTTGTTGGATTGTTGTGAATTGAACATTTTGCATGAATTTCAAAACTAGTTATGTAAACTGCATGCGTTAAAAAATAAAATAAAATAAAAAATTGTACATGACCTGTGATGAGTCTTCTTTCAAGTGCAACGTGACGTGGAGTTTGACTTGTTTGAAAAAAAAAACACGAAGACTTCGAGAAGTACAAATTCCATTGTAGAGATTGGAATACAAGTCCTTGGCTCCTTCTCACAACTCCCTCCCACTTCCCAAACACTAGTTTAGTAATAAAAATAAATAAAAAATAAATTATATCAGTACTCTTATATTTTAATTTTTCTAATTTTAATTGGCTCAATTTTAACTTTAAATTTATGATTTTGTATCAATTTATTTTAATTTATTACAATTCTTAGTATTTTTTTATGAGAAATATGCGAATAAGCTGCATATGTCATGCCTTTAAGAGTAAAATTATAAATTTATTCAATTTAGTAAGTTAAAATCAAACAACTTAATGATTAATTTCCATAAAAAATCCTATCAGTTTTATCATTTTTACCAAATTGACATAAAATCTAAAATTAAAAGTTACAATTGAGTCAATTTAAAATATATAGGAACCAAAATGACACAGTGGGCTAAATGTAAGAACTACGAATAGTAATAATGATAGAGAAAAAATGCATTTAAATAAAAATAACTCAAAATAAGGATTTTTAACAATTGAAACAGTTTTAAAAAAAAATAAAAATTAATAAAATTCACTAAATACAAAGAAGTTTATAAACAAGTAAAAAAATAAAACTTTAATACAACTTTTACTTGGAGTTCAAAGAAACAACCGATTTCTACTTATGAAGCTGAGTTCGTTGCTGCTACATCATGCACTTGTCATGCAATTTGGATGAGGAATTTGTTGAAAGATTTGCAATTTGCACAAGAGGAAGCGACAGGGATAACCAGACAACAATTGCCTTGGCTATGAACCCAGTGTTTCATGATCAAAGTAAACACATTGATATGAGGTATCATTTGTTAGAGAATGCATTGTGAAGAAGGAGGTACAACACAAGTTTGTGAAATCTCATGATCAAATTGCTGACAAATTCACAAAGTCGCTCAAGTATGAAGACTTCACCAAGTTTCGGACCTTGCTCAGAGTTACTAAAAGTTAAGTTTAAAGGGGTGTTGAAATAATAAACATGATTTTAGTTCAGTAAATTTACACATTTTCTAGAAGTACCTATTTATATTTTATTCATGTATTGTCAATAGAAAAATGTTTCAAACCCCCTTTCTCTCCCACCCCCTTTGACCCCATTTCCCTCCCATTGGCCAGTTTTTCTTTTCTTTTTTTTTTCTTTTTTTCCTTCTCCTCCAATCACCACCCACCACGTGTGTGTGGGGGGTGGTGGGGGTGGTGATTGGAGGGAGTCTCTATCAATGCTGTTGTCAATATTCATGTATTTTTTAGATTCATGTATTCCTAGGATGAATGTATCTAGAAAGATGAATGTATGGTACATTGGATGTAGAAAATGTATTGGTCTCTTGGCTTGTTCATTAGAGACTATAAGTAACCCAAGTACCTGAGTGTTTTAAATAACTGGAATCAAAATATTTGAGAGTTAAGAATTTCTCTTCCCTCTTTCAATCTCTCTAACCTTTGTGTGATCCATTTTATTTCTAACACATTGAACATAATATCTAGTGTGTAAAATAGAATATGAAAATAATAAGTTTGGTGCATAATGATTATATCTTTATATGAATGTCAAATTATAAAAGGTTTTTTGTTTAACCAATTAGGCCTAGCTTAATTGGTCACCATGCCTTCCTTAGAGCTTAGTCCCAAGGAGGTCATGGGTTTAATTTCCCTTAAAAAGATTGAATTAAGGGAGTGCAAGCACTTTGGTGTTTTGCCAAGGGTGAGAAGATTTTCTCTTATAGGTGCCAATCTAACAGCTAACAACTAACATTTGCCAATCAAAAAAATATATAAATAAAATAAAATAAAAGTTTTATGTTTTCTCCTTTGTATGATTGCCCATGGAATGAAATGAAGTTTTCTACTCTTGTCAAAAAGAAAGTTTAATAACAAATAAGCATGTTTTGGAAAGTTAGTTAAAAATTGACATTTTAATATTTTTTGTTTTTTTTTTTTAAAAAATGTGTAAAAAATAAAGAGGTGATGTGACTCAAAATAGACTAAAAGCCAATTTTAACTTTTAGCCAAGTTCCCAAAACACCCAATAATCACATCCGATCCCAAAATACATACATACATACACAATGGCCTCATTTGGGAAGTTAACTATTTTAATAGGCTATTTTAATTTTTGACTATTTTGGTAGGCTAAAATTTTTGTATTTTGGAAGATGGTTGATTTTTTTATATTTGAATGTAATGTTTGTGAGGGAAAAAGTGAAATTATAATGGGGATGTGACATTTTATCTTATTAACTATTTTAGTCTATTTTGTCTTTTTATAAATTTTAGCCCAAAAAAAAAATAAAACAAACCCCACTTGCCAAACAGGGCCAATATATATATAAATAATTAATAGTAGACCCATCAATTAATTTTATAAAATTTTATCTTTTATATGTATTCTATATTTATTTCTATGTGTTAATTTTGAGTTCATAATAAAATAATTATAAAGTTAGCGATTCACTAAAAATTGAAAAACTGGGAAATAGCATGCCTATAAAATGAGTATTGCTTAGATAAAAAGAGTTGGATTGAAGTGTAATAAGATTAAGAAAAATAAAATTAAAAATCAATACATTCATGAAATAGTAAGAGTAATATCAATTGAAAATAAGTTGACATAAGTTGACATAAGTTGACAGAAAAATAGACTAAAAAACGAAAATGAATATAGATGCAACAAAAACGAATAGTGAAAATATCAAAAAATACTAACATAAAATACGATAAAAAAGTTTTAATCTATTTAATTTAACAAAAAATATAATTCTTGACAAAGCAAAATAGTATAAAGAATGACCAAATGAAACACTTACAAAAATTTTACACATAATTCTTACAAAAAATGATGTAAAATGATATGACAACAACATTTGTAAAATTATGAAAACTGTTAGGTTTTTATTCTTGGCAACCCCGTTTCACAAAACTCATTTCAATTGTATTTGTTTTCGCACTTTTTATTTCAGTGAGGCTATGAGTTTTTGGATGCGAATTCAACCCGAATTGTGCCTTGTAGAGAAGTTTTGTGATGTTAATTTTTTCAAGATTGCCACTTCCCTGATTATGACGGGGATCGAGCTGCCCGGTCAGCTCGCGAGGGTCCAGGGGGCAGCACCCCTTGGCGGGTCCGGGGCAACTCCCAGGCGGGGTCGAGGGGTAGCGCCCCCGAAGCAAAATGCAAAAATGCATTCAAAGTTGCCTGTCCGCTCGAGCGCGAATTCAACCCGAATTGTGACTTGCAGAGAAGTTTTGTGATGTTAATTTTTTCAAGATTGCCACTTCCCTGATTATGACGGGGATCGAGCTGCCCGGTCAGCTCGCGAGGGTCCAGGGGGCAGCACCCCTTGGCGGGTCCGGGGCAACTCCCAGGCGGGGTCGAGGGGTAGCGCCCCCGAAGCAAAATGCAAAAATGCATTCAAAGTTGCCTGTCCGCTCGAGCGAACATTCCCCTACTCGAGCGGAGAATGCTGGGTTTCAGAAGTTTGTTCGCCTGCAAAAATACTAGATGTTGTTTTTTCCCGCTCGAGCAGAACTTTTCGCGCTCGAGCGTAGGTCTGCTCGAGCGGCCAATCTAACGCTCGAGTGGAGATCGCGGGACAGTTTTTTATAAATACGTGTTTCAGTCCAAATCTAGGATTACTTCTCCAGATCTTCTTCTTGGGTTCTAGGGTTTATATTTGGGGATATTTTGCTAGTTTTCTTTCATGTTTTGATTGAGTATTCAACTCATGGTTTAAAGAGTATACATCAAAGGTTTATTTGTTTTTTCTACACAAAAGAAAGAGTTGTTCTTCGGTAGATTCTGAAGAATTCGAGCCTGAAGCTTTGGTAGATTCTGGAGTGGCTCATCGTCAAGACAATTCTGAGGTGAAGACGGGGTTGGAAAAGGCACATAGGGGTTGGTTCAATTCGAGGGTGGATTCGCTAGGTAATTGAGAATATACCTGTGTAATTCCTTTATGTCTTTTTAGTGGATTGTTTTGTGGCTTTTGCCCGTGGTTTTTTTATCACAATTGGAGGTGTCCAATTGTGGTTTTTTCACGTAAAATCGTTGTGTCGATTTGTCTTGATTATTTGATTAGGATTGTTATATACTGCTTAAAATTGATAAATAATCACAAATCAACTTCTAAGGGATTTCTAGATTTTTCAAAAATAAATGACAAGTGTTTTCATTGTAAATGAAGAGATTGCAAAATGGAACATCAATCTATATGGGGTGTTTGGGAAATCAAAAATTAGTTTTTTTTTTTCTTTTTTTGTTTGTTTGTGTGTGTGTGGGGCTAAAATTCAAACAAAAAAGAAGATAAAATACGCTAAAATAGTCAATA